CGTTGCGGACTACCAGCTCTGCCAACCCGCCGCGTTCTGCAGAAGATGATCCACGAGATTGGTCTATCGCCCTCACCACCACGGTCCGGGTCGGTTGGCCATGATAAATTTCAGGACGCCATGGCGCCGATTTTTTTCAGGCTCGCGTCACGCAGGGTTGCTTGTACCCATAAGCGTCACGTATTTGGGCGTGAATAATCTCAGTCTTTCGAGTGTCGACACCAGCGTGGACATTTGGGCAGTCACCAGACGCACTAATGCCACCCTGGAGGCGCCACAGACATATTGCACTGCGAGGATCTGAGCAACTGAATCCTCAAAGCACAATGGCCGGCGATTCCACGATTACCAAACGCTTGCCATCGGCCGATGGGATACTGCTTTTGCGCCTGGCCGAAGTGGCAGTTTTTTTGGACGCGCCACGCGCCGAGCCAGGTTTAGCCGCGCGGCTGCTCGATGGTCGCGGTTTGGCGGTGGTGTTTCTAGTTCCGGTTTTCGGCGGCATGAGTTGAGAAAGCCTCCGGTTCAGATGAGCAGTTTGTAGTGCATTCCGCTAACCGATTGAACCAGCCCCTTCAATTCGAGCATGGCGAGCAGGCTACTCACCTCCGCGACTGGGCGATTACAGAGGCGGACCAAGTCGTCAATGTGCGTAGGTTCGTCGGTGATATGTTCCAACAAGATGGATTCTTCGGGATCGGCGGGTAGCGATATTCTGGACTCTACCACATTAGGTTGGGAAGTAAATTTCAGCTTGGCAAGTCCTTTGTGGTTCAACGGGGCATCGGATTGATCCGGCTCCGCACTTTCGGTCAGGTCCATGGCCATCTGTTGAGTAACGGCGCTGACGCCGATTTCAACTAATATATCACTAACTTCGGTAACCAGTTTGGCGCCCTCTCTTATCAGTCGATTGGTGAGCTTGCTGTTCAGTCCGAGTAAATGCTACCTGGCACGCAGAAGATTTCTCGGTTCTGTTCCAGGGCGTGGTATACCGTCCATCTGGTGCCACTGGTGTTGCTGGCTTCGGTAACCAGGGTACCCAGCGTCATGCCGCTGATGATCCTGTTGCGCCTTGGGAAATTGGAGGCTTCAGGACGAACTCCCAAACCGAATTCACTGACGATGGCGCCGCCCTCAGCTACTATGCGCTCCGCCAACCGCCGGTTTTCCCTGGGATAGACAGTGTCCAACCCGTTTCCCAACACAGCGATGGTTCTGCCCCCGGCATCAACTGTTGCCTGGTGGGCGCGGGAATCCACGCCTAATGCCAGACCACTGACGACAGTTACGCCGGCTGCAGCGAGGGCCGAGCACAATTCGGCGGTAACTCGGTGACCGTAGTCGGTGGGCCGACGGGTACCGACCACGGCCACCGCGCATTCATCTCCTGGAAACAGGGTCCCTCGAACGTACAGCACCGCTGGAGCGTCAAAGGTTTCCCGCAGTCTCGCAGGATATTCCTCATGGTGCCAGGTGAGAGCGCCGACACCGGCCAACTCCAGTTTTTCGAGTTCGCGCTCAGGTTCGATGGTTTCTCTGGCAGCCACGATATTCTGGGCGACTTCAGTACCAACTCCAGCAGCCCGCAACTCGCGTGAGGAAGCCAGCCAGGCGTTCTTCATATCTCCGTCGAAATGGTCTTCCAATCGATGGAATCGGGCTGCGCCCAAGCGCGGTACCCGCGTTAAAGCTACCCAGTATTGCAAATCATGTGTGGCGGAACCAATCACGGCGCCGATTCTATCATAGGCCCGAATTCGTTAACAACGGGCACGAGTCACCAAAAGGGGTAATCGAGAACAACAACCAACGCTGCAATTTCTTGCTGGACATCAATCGGTAGGCTAGTATGGCGACAAACTCGACTGCACTAATTCTGGGGAGGTTCAAATGCGATACGACTATGTCGTAGTGGGCGCCGGATCCGCAGGGTCGACAATTGCTACGCGCCTTTCGGAGGATCCAGACAAAAGCGTTCTGCTTCTGGAAGCGGGACCGGACTATCCCGATTTTGATCACCTGCCCGACGATTTGAAGTTGGGCAACAATGTGTTTTTCTCTGCCTATGGTCCACACAGCTGGGCGTATAGCGCCCGCGTTACTGCGCAACAAACCGACCTGGTGATTCCGCGGGGCAAAGCCACGGGTGGATCGTCGGCAATCAACGGGCAGGTGTTGTACCGCGGGATACCGGAGGACTACGACCGTTGGTCGGAATGGGGCAACGACGAATGGGGTTATACCAGCGTGTTGCCGTTTTTCCGGCGGATGGAGAATGATCACGACTTTCAGGATGACTGGCACGGCACCGAAGGACCCATTCCGGTGCGTCGATACCGTCCTGATGAATGGTTGCCGCACTCCACCGCATTCAAATCGGCATGCCTGGCCCTGGGCTTCAGGGACGACCCGGACCAAAACCATCCCGAATCCACCGGTGTGTCTCCCCGGGCGCGCAACACGCTGGACGGCGTTCGCATCAGCACCGCCCTGGCGTACCTGAACCTGGCTCGCCACCGCCTGAACCTTACGCTGCGGGCAAACGTTCAGGCGTGCCGCGTGGTTTTCGATGGCAAACGTGCTGTAGGGGTGGAGGTGGAAAGCGACGGGGAACGCTTCGTCGTGGAAGGCAACGAGATTATCGTAAGCAGTGGCGCGATAGCCTCTCCGCAGCTGTTGTTGCTATCGGGAGTGGGTCCGGCAGACCATCTGCGAGAAGTAGGCATTCCGGTTACGCATGAGTTGGCGGGAGTGGGGCAGAATTTGAGAGACCATCCATCTGCCTGCGTACTGTTTCGGGCCGCCGGAGACCGTCCCGACGTGCAGGCGGCGGCCATCCAGGTGGGTTTGCGGTACACCGTTGAAGGATCCCACTTACGCAACGACATGCAGATATCTCCGTTGCTGATGACCTCGGAACATCGACCGGCGCAGGTAGTAATTGACGATGACGAAAACTACATTGGCATCAGCGCCGGCTTGCAACTTGCGTTGGGACATGGCGAACTCAGATTGAAATCATCAGACCCTGCTGAATATCCATACCTGGACTACAACTACTATCAGGAACCCTTTGATCTGGAGAGAATGCGGAAAGCTATTCGTACCTGCGTGGAGATTGGAACGCATGTCGCGTACCGCGATGTCCTGTTGGATCGGGTCAATCCGTTAGATTCCGATCTGGTTGACGATGCCGCTTTGGATGACTGGCTGATGCGGAACTCGGGCACATCGCACCATGTTTCAGGCACGTGCAAGATGGGACCGGCCAGCGACGGCATGGCGGTGGTCGACCAGCACGGAAAGGTTCACGGTCTGGAGAACATCCGCGTCGCCGATGCGTCGATCATGCCCGATTGCATCCGAGCAAACACCAACGCTACTACGATTATGATCGGGGAGAAAATCGCGGACTACGTGCGCAACGGCAGATAAACCCCGCTGGCCTGCCGCCACCGTTGCCAGCCAGACATGGATCAAAACGAACGGGCGTGTTACGGCCGGGCGAATCCTCGAAGATCAGATGGTTCGCGGTACGGGGACGCCCGGGATATTAACGCTTACCCGACACAACTCTTCGAAGGTGGTTATGTAAAGGGTTCGCCAATCGCCACCGCCGAATCCAACGTTGGTGGCGCGTTTCCCTCCGCCCAGGGCGATGGTGCCGAGATGGCGGCCGCCAGGTCCCATGATCCAGACCCCGCCCGGTCCGGTCGAATACAGGTTGCCTTCCAAATCGCATTTCATCCCGTCGGGGACCCCGGGTCTTTCGTCGGCCAGGGCACAGAACAGTCGGCCGTTTTCGATTCCCCCATCGCGTTTGACGTCCCACGCCTTGATCAACCCGATTCTTGAATCGTTGATAAATAGGATGGATTCGCCGGGTGAGAAGCAAAGTCCATTTGGACCAACGTAGTCGTCCACCAGCAACGTGACCTCGCTCAGATCAGGGGACACGCGATATACGCCAGCGAAACCCAGCTGCATATCAGGGTAGGTGTCCCGATATGGGTCGGTAAAGTAGATGGCGCCATCGGATTTGACCACCAGGTCATTCGGGCGGTTCAGTCGTTTCCCCTGATAGGAGTTGGCGACCAACGTGACGCTGCCGTCAGCTTCCTGCCTGGTCACGCGCCGCGCCGCGTGTTCGCAAGCCAGCAATCGGCCCTGCGGATCGCGGGTCAACCCGTTGGCCTCGTTGGTATCGGACTGGAATACGGACAGTCCATCCGCATCATTGAATCGCATCCGCCGATTTCCACCAATGTCGCTGAACAGAAGGTAGCCGGATTCTTGCCACCACACTGGACCCTCGGCAGGCCACCAGGGCACGCCCAGGGCCGAACCGTCGCCTCCCAGTCCGCTGGCCAACCATTCGACTTCCTGGTCCAAATCCAGGATGCGCTCAAGTCCGGGGGCTACTTGTTCAATTGGCATGGGTATTGCCTCCTGGGTGGGCTGTAAGGTCCAGCCGCCGACGTTGCAAGCATAATAACACTCACTCTGTGGGGCCGGATGGGAATTACTGGTTGGTCGGTGTCAGTTGGCCTAAATGTGGTCAGGAGGGTGATTCGAGGGTGGCAACGCTGAATACCACCCGGAAGGGATTGCAATAAATGACCACGCTTTGGGCATGGGAAAGATCGAAATCGCTCGGTATTACGTAGTTTTGAGATCCAACATTACCTTTCAATTCGGACAATTCCACGTACCCGGATTCGTCCAGGTCAGAGTGACTTTCCGGATTGGCGGCGTTCGCCAATAGAACACGGAGATCGGGGCCGTTGGTAACTCTGAAGGCTTCGAAGCGGAGCACTCGTTCCCCGGTGTCAACGATCTCGTAAATGGTGGCCGTTCCCGACCCCTTGTGAAAAGCGTCTGCGTCGCGGAATTCGCCGGTGAGCTCGGCTTGTACCGCGTTCTGCTCCGCCGGCCCTCCTGTCATCTGAGCCATGGATTCGTTCACTTCGGAATCGGCGCTGGCTGCCTCGGTCATACGAGTTTCGACGTCAGCCATTGTCATATTGGCGGGAACCACTGCCCGGGTTGCGAAGGGGAATTCCTCGTTAACCTGAGTGGAGGAAAAGAGCGGACTACCCAGCCACCAGGCGACCCAGATTATTGGTATGAGAGCAAAGAGTCCGATTCCAATCAGAACATAACGAATCATTGTTTCACCCAGCGAAGGCGTGGTACGGAACGGTAAGTTGGCAGGGACCAACGCCGATGACGGTTGGACCGGCAGGGATTCTAACGGTATGTATTTCGCAACCGAGGCGTCCTACGGGTGCGGAAAGATCGGCGCCGGTTCAGGTTGGATGCCCGCGGACCTTCTTCGGGTCAGTTACTGTCGCGAAGCCTCTGGAGCGCGTTGCGCACCGTTTCGGCATCCTCGGCGTCGGGCACCGCTAACAGGTAAGCGCTGAAATCGGCTTCTGAGGCTTGTTTATTGCCGGCCTTGAGGTGTACAACGGCCCGATCGCGTTGTTCTTGCGGTCGATCCGGAGTAACCGCCATCAATGCCCCAATAGCGGTAATGCAGCGATCGAAATCGTCGCTGTCCCAATAAATCGCTTTGAGGTTTCTCAGGATGCGGGCGAGTATGTCCCTGGGAGTAACCGGGTCCAGGTGGTGAGGTTCCAGGTGCATTTCTTCGCCGGCAGATTCCCGCAACAACGCTCCACATTCATCCTGATTGAGCAACAAGCCACCGTTGAATGTGTCGACGAAATAATTTGGTTCGTCCCGGTGGCGGATCAGGAAGTGGCCCGGCATACCAACGCCCACGATTGGGACTCCGGCGCGTCGCCCGATTTCCATGCAGATTAGCGACAGCGTAACCGGGATACCCAATCGACGGATGAGGACTTCGTGCAGGTACGAGTTGAGGGGATCGTAGTAGTTATCCCCGGTTGCCGTCCAAACCGATGACTCCAAAAAGCAGGTCGGTTACCACGTTCAGTTGTTGCAGAGATGAGGAGTCCTGGGTGATGCGAGATTGAACAGCTTCAGCCATACGATCGAGATTGGACAGGTTGGCCTCAATGTCGACGTCAGGATATTCGGTGGCAGCTATTAGCATGGCTCCGTATCCCAGGTCGAAATTGCTGCCAACCACGTCAGATTCCGGGGATTGAGTAATTCGTTGCAGTTCTAGGGTCGCGTCGGTAGCGAACATGTACACCGTCCCTGGGTTTCAGGAGTTGGGGTTGGCTCTGCGACTACGGCGGAATTCAGCGGCACTGACGTTCTCAACCGCCGGGTTGCCCGGGTAGTTGGATTGCTCACTGGATACCGTGGATGCGCGGTCTAAGATGTCTAGTACCTGGGGACAATCGGCCTGGCATTTTTCGCACCAGACCAGGTCGCTCGACATCAGCCGCATGTTGTCTTTTTTTACGGTTGTCGTGGCCAGCGCGTACGAACAACGGGCGCACCGACTGACAATAGTTACTTCGTTGATGGGCATTATATATCCCTGCGATTCAGTTTGATGAAACGGTTGGCTGGTCGCTAACGGGCCGTGAAACCGCCATCCACGACCAGTTCGGCCCCGGTGATGTATGAGGCATCGTCGCTGGCCAAAAACAACACGGCGTTGGCCACCTCTTCCTGACGCCCCTCGCGACCCAATGGAACCTGATCTTCCACCATCGCGCTCCGGCCGGTACGTACTTCTTCCGTAAAGACGCTTCCCATCATGGGAGGCATGTATCCCGGGTGCACTGAATTGACCCGAATGTTTTCACGGCCGTAGCGCACCGCCATTGCCTTGGTAAAAAGACGCACCGATCCTTTGGAAGCGTTATAAGCCGGGTGCCCACTCAACATGCCGACCAAACCGGCGATAGACGATATGTTGACTATGGAACCGCCGCCGTTTTTCTGCATTTGCTGTATGGCATGTTTGGTGCCCAGGAACACACCGGTGGAGTTTATATCCATGATGCGAGTCCAGGCGTCCAGGCTGTCGTCATCCGGCACTGCCCGGCTGCTGATTCCGGCGTTGTTCACCAGCACATCCAGGCGACCAAACCTCTGCACTGCCTGGTTAACCACGTTTGCCCAAGCCGGTTCGGCGGTAACGTCGGTGTGGACGTAGAGCGCTTGCCCGCCGGCCTCGTTGATTTCGGCTTCGACCCGTTGACCGTCCTGGTCCCTAATGTCCGCGATTACAACACTGGCCCCTTCCCGCCCGAACAGTTTTGCCTCAACCGCACCCATACCGTGGGCGCCACCGCTGACGATGGCTACTTTTCCTTCCAAACGCATCCAAGTACCTCTACTGGTCCACCGATGACGCAGGGCGAACATTGCATTCCGAACATTGCGTCCATTGATCACACGCTGCGAATGCCTTTGCAGTCGAATGGAATTTTACCATTATGACGTGCCTTTGCCACGGAAAAACGCCGATCCGGAAAACGAGCCTGAACTCCATGACGTGGACTGCACAAGTTGGTTGAAGTCGAATATGCGAAGCGGCGTGGTGTATCCTTTTAGTGGTTCTCGCAAAATCCCGGACCCGACCACCCGGGTTTGTTCGACCGATTAGCGATATGTACCAAGCAGCGGTATTCATACACCTTGCGTCGGCAATAGTCTGGATCGGCGGTAGCCTTTTTCTGGCGTTGGTGCTATTGCCAGTGTTGCGGAAAATCGCCGCTCAGTCAGCGCAAGGGGAATCCAATGTTGGGTTGCCGCCCGGTGTACTGGGTTCGGTTGCGAGACGTTTCCGGTGGATGTCGTGGGTATGCATAGTGTTGCTGGTGGCCACTGGGTTTCATATCCTGCCGAGCAGGTATGGGATAGGATTCAACGATTTTTTCACCCTGGGTGGGCACTTCGTTGGCACGCTGCAAATAAAAGTGGCCTTGGTAGCAGTGGTAATCTGGTTGAGTTTCATGCACGATTTCTTATTGGGGCCATACGTGAACCGCCTGCTCGAAGCCGTGCAGTCTGGGGCTGAACCTCACCGTCGAATGGGACTGCTCAGGAGAACATTGATATGGGTGGCACGGGTCAACGTGGCGCTGATGGTAGCCATAGTTGTAGTTGCGGTCACCATGACCAGAGGCGTTCCGGTTTAGCCGCAACCTGGCACCGGTGGACTTGGTGCTGGCGGCAGGGTGCGTTTGGAGACCGGGTACGCTCACAGAGAGGTGCGAACATTGGCTAACAAAGACGATGCGGACGTTTATGAATCATTGCCGGTTTTTGATCACCACCACGGACGCCCTGATGATTGGCGCGGGTTGCTCGTGGGCGGTTCGGTAAAACGTCCCCGGACGTTCACAGCAGAAGAGCTCGTTCTGCTTAGTGGGGATAGCATAACCGATGATTTCCGGTGTGTAGAGGGATGGAATGTCCCCGATCAAACTTGGGGTGGTGTCCGGTTGGATGTCATTCTTAGCGCGGTAGAACCTCTGGACAATGCCAGATACGCCGCGATATCTGCCGCCGACTACACCGTCGTGGTGCCACTGGATCGCGATATTGCTGGGGACGTATTGTTGGCCACGCGCCTCAACGGAGCGATTTTGCCTGAGGAGCACGGCGGGCCGTGTCGGTTGGTGAGCCGGGACCAGGCGTGTTATGCCAGTATCAAGTGGATCGACCGCATCGTAATATGTGAACACGCTCCGCCGGAAACCGCCCGCGATATTGCCATGGAACGCAACCGGGCCACTAGGGGTTCAAATCCTTAAACCGGTATCCCAGGCCCCGCTCGCTCAGGATGTATTCCGGGTTCCGGTGGTCTTTCTCCAATTTTTGCCGCAAGTAAGTTACGTACGTCCGAACGTACTGATGCTCTCCGCGATACTCGGGACCCCAAACGCGCTCCAATAAAGTGTCGTGACTCAGCAGCTGGCCGGCGTTGTTTACCAATTGGTACAGCAGTCTGTATTCGGTGGGCCGCAGGTGCATGGGCGTACCGTTGGCCACCACCTGACTCTGGTCGAAGTTAATGGTGAGCCAGTCGTCCACCACCACTTCCTGCAGGCGCGGTGGTTCGGCAGCTTCGATCCGCCGGAACAGCGCGCGGATGCGTGAAACGAGTTCGCGAGGGCTGAATGGCTTGGTCAGGTAATCGTCCGCGCCCAGGTCCAGCCCGGCAACCCGATCACTTTCGTCACCACGGACAGTAACGAAAATTACCGGAACCGAGGATTCGGATCTGATTCGCCGCAGCGTCTCGAACCCGTCGAGTTTCGGCATCATGACGTCCAACACGATCAGGTCCACCGGGTCGTCGCCGTGCAGCACGTCGAGGGCTTCTTCGCCGTTCCTTGCGGTGGCGACGTTGAATCCCTCGACTTCGAGATTCATGGACGTAAAGCTCACAATATGGGGTTCGTCGTCCACCACCAGAATGGTACGTTTGTCGGCCGGGGAGGTCATGGGCTCACCACCGCCTCGGGGAAGGTCAAGGTGAACGAAGAACCCATCCCAAGCGTGCTCTCCACATGGACGGTGCCACCGTGGGCGGTCATCACAGCGTCGCAAATGTAGAGGCCGATTCCCATGCCGCGGGTTTGGACAGAGACGGGATGTTGAGAACGGTGAATCGTTCGAATATGCGACGGGTTTCCCACCTGGGAACGCCGACACCGTGATCCTTCACGGTCAAAGTTACACCGCGCGCGGCGTCGCCGTCGACAAGAATTTCGATGGAGCCGCCGTCGGGTGAATACTTCACGGCATTATCCAACAGGTTCATGATGACCTCCTCAAGCAGGCCCGGATCGCCGGATACTGTGGGAAGGTAATCAGGGTACTCTACCGAGAAATCGTGGTTGTTGGCGGCGGGTTGCAGTCGGCCCACTGCTTTTTGGGCGAGAGCTGACAACTGAACCTGTTCATGATTGATTGGCAGTTCACCGGTTTCCAGGCGCGATGCCAACAGCAACCGGTTCATCAATTGGCTCATGTGGTCGGTTTCTTCTTCGATGGCTTCAAAAATGCGGTGCAGCGTGCTGGAGTCCCAGTCTGCATCGGAACGCGAAAGGGTGTTCGTGTACCCCTTGATAATCGCCAACGGGGTTTGCAATTGATGCCCCAGCATCGACAAAAAGGCCGATCGCATATCTTCTGTTTCACGCATTCGGGTCATGTCGCGGACGTTGACGACGGCATTCAACGGCAGCATCTCGGGCGAACGGACCACCGAATAGACCAAACGCCACGTCGGTATGTTGCCCGTTGCGGGAGCGAACGCCAGCGGCCAACTCGGTCACGTGTTCCGCTTCAGGAACGGGAGAGTGCAACATTGGGCATTGACCCGGGCATACTGGTCGGCCTTCTCGATCGCGCCAATTGAGCGCAACTGCACACGGTAAACCGATCAGGTCTTCGCGCGACCGCCCCAACAACCGTTCCATGGCAGGGTTCACGCTGACGATACGACGTGCAGAGTCAACAGTGTAAATCCCGTCAGCGCTGCCCTCCAAAATCGATTCGACGCGCCGTTTTTCCTGTGCCAACAGGTGGGCCAGGCGCGCCGACTGTACGGCGATGGCGGCCTGCTCGGCGAAGGCCGCGAGGACGGGCGGGTCGAGTCGCGAGAAATTGGCGGCTTCGGATGATCGCAGAACTACTATCAGCCCGACGGTTTCGCCGCCAGTGCGCAACGGAACCGCCATGACGGGGTTTTGCATCTGGCCGGTGGTCGAAACGGGCAGGGCAGATTGCCTGAACAGGGCTGAAAGCAAAGCGAATTGTTCCCGGCTGAGCGCCAGGTCGGGTATGGCCTCGTTCAGCAATGGGCTGATACGCAGGATCTCGCCGGCGCCCAGGCCATAAGAACCGGTGACCACGAACTTATGAGAGGCGTCGTCCCAGGTGGCCACCACCGCAGCACTGCCGCCCAACGCGCGAACCGCGTTCCGGAGGACGTTTTCCAGTTCGGGCTGCAGCTCGGGGAATTCGTCGCCCGAGGATAGGAGGGGTGTTTCGCTGGTGCGATGTTGATTGACCATACCTGATCCTGATTATCCTCATTTTCTAACGCAATTTTAACATTAAACCGGTTGGCATCAGGCGTTCGTTGGACGACAATAGATTCAGAACGCTGATGGACGGTGGCCACGCTGTCCGCCAGAAGGAGGTAGCGATGCCAAGGTATTCTTACCGATGCACATCGTGCGACCACGAGTATGACCAGCGGGAGAGTTTTGGAGCGCCTTCCGAAGTAGAATGCCCGGCTTGCTCGGGCTTGGCCCGGCGTAAGTTTCACGCCGTACCGATTATCTACAAGGGCTCGGGTTTTTACACCACCGACTACGCCCGCAAAAAGTGAACCCGACCTCCGCGGTTCATTTGGTCATCTAATCAAAATACACACAATCCAATCCAATATAAAGGAGGCACTCAGTGGCCAGTTTCACACCTCTAGGCGAACGAATAGTCATCAAGCCGATGGAACAGGAAACCCAGACCCGTGGCGGCATCCTGCTCCCGGACACTGCGAAAGAGAAGCCCCAGGAGGGCGAGGTCATCGCGGTGGGTCCGGGCCGGACCGCTGACGACGGCTCCCGCATCGCCATGGAACTCACCGTGGGCGACAAGGTCATCTATTCCAAGTACGCCGGCACCGAGTACGAAGACGGCGACGACGAATATCTGATCATGCGCGAGTCCGACGTTCTGGCCAAACTCGGCTAGTCAAAGCTCACACACTAGATCACGGCAATTGGTCAACTACACACCGAAACTAGGAGAACCGCAATGCCCGCAAAGAAGTTGGCATACTCCGAAGAAGCTCGCAAGTCGCTGCGAACTGGCATCGACATTCTGGCTGACTCGGTAAAAATCACTCTCGGCCCGCGCGGCCGCAACGTGGTGCTTGACAAGAAGTTTGGCCCCCCTCAGGTCTGCTCCGACGGCGTCACGATCGCGAAAGAAATTGAGCTGCCCGACGCCTTTGAGAACATGGGCGCCCAGCTGCTGAAAGAAGCCGCCACCAAGACCAACGACGCCGCTGGCGACGGCACCACGACCAGCATCGTGCTGTCTCAGGCGATCATCCACGAAGGCTTCAAGAACGTAACCGCCGGGACCAATCCCATGGCCATCAAGCGCGGCATCGAGCACGCCGTGGGGCGGATCGTTACTGAGTTGCAATCCATGTCCCAGCCGGTGGAGACCCGCGAACGCATCGGTCAAGTAGCCTCCCTGTCCGCTCACGAAGAGGCCATCGGCGAGACCATCGCCGAGGCCATGGAGAAGGTGGGCAAGGACGGCGTCATCACCGTTGAAGAGTCCCGCGGACTTACCGATGAGATCGAATACGTGGAAGGCATGCAGGTCGACCGCGGTTACATTTCCCCTTACTTCATTACCAACAGCGACCGCATGGAAGCTGCCATCGATGACGCTCACCTCATCATTACCGACAAGAAAATCTCCGCGGTTGCCGACCTGGTGCCGGCCCTGGAGAAGCTGTTGCAGGTTGGTCAGAAGAACGTGGTCATCGTCGGCGAGGACGTAGACGGTGAGGCGCTGGCTACCCTGGTAGTCAACAAGCTGCGCGGCATCATGAACGTGCTGTCCATCAAAGCCCCCGGCTTCGGCGACCGCCGCAAGGCCATGCTGGAAGACATCGCCATCCTGACCGGTGGTACCGTAATAAGCGAAGAGACAGGCCGCCGCCTGGATTCGGCCACCATAGAAGACTTCGGGCGAGCCCGGCGTGTATCGTCCACCAAGGACGACACCACCATCGTTGAGGGCCACGGTTCGGAAGATGCCATCCAGGCCCGCATCAATCAGATCAAGGCTCAGATCGAAGACACCACCTCCGAGTATGATCGCGAGAAGCTCCAGGAGCGGATGGCGAAATTGTCCGGCGGCGTTGCGGTGATCAAGGTTGGAGCCGCGACTGAGATCGAGCTCAAAGAGCGGAAGGCTCGCGTGGAAGACGCCCTGTCTGCCACCCGTTCCGCTGTTGAAGAAGGCATCGTCCCCGGCGGTGGAGTAGCTCTCGTACGGGCGCAGCGCGCGTTGGAAGGCGTAGAGGGTTTGACGAGCGACGAAGTCGTGGGCGTCAACATCATTCGTCGCGCCCTGGAACAACCGTTGAAGCTCATCGTGGAGAACGCCGGTTCTGAGGGAGCGGTTGTGCTCAATCAGGTAAAGGATCAGTCCGATGACTACGGTTACGACGCTGAGCTGGGCGAATTCGGCCCCATGCTCGAGCGTGGCATCATCGACCCCGTCAAGGTGACTCGGTCGGCCCTGCAAAACGCGGCTTCGGTTGCGGCAATGGTGCTTACCACCGAGTCCATGATTACCGAAATACCTGAACCCATGTCGGCAGCCCCGGCAGCCCCGCCGATGGACTTCTAACCACTGGACATTCGCGGATTTACGCCGGAGCGGGATCGTGTACCCGCTCCGGTGTTTTTATGCCTGGGGCACATTGGCGAACCGAGTAGATTTACGTTATCCCAATGTTGGGGTATATTGGGCGACGCTCATTATGTAATCATCCGCCGTTTCGATCCGACGGCGACGGCGGGCCGACAGCGAGCTTCGACTGAAATCCACCATGATTGAAAAAATCCTCGGCTGGCGCCCTCCAACCCCTTTCTACTATGGTTGGCTGGTTCTGGCGATGGGATCGCTCTGTACAGCTGCCGGGTCCAGCGTGTCGCAAGTCGTGCTTGGTACGGTGCAGGTTTACATCGTGGAGGAGACTCACTGGAACATCGGGACGTTGTCAATTGCGGTTACCGCTGGCACCTGGTGCTCGGGTATCTTGGCGCCGTTCGCTGGCCGCCTCGCTGACCGCTTCGGTCCCAGATATCTGATCACAATTGGGTTGGTAGTCGTAGCCTGCGCGCTATTTGCACTGTCTTCCGTCGACAGTTCCTCGTTGTGGCAATTCTTTGTTGCCTACATCATTGGCCGATCCATCAGCAACCCATTTCTGATCGGCGTAGTACCCCCGAACCGCTACGGTCAATTTCTTCCGTAGGCGGCGCAATATTACGCTGGCAATCTCCGGGATGGGCCGCCCTATCGGTGGTGCCATCAACATTCAGATAATCTCGTTGATCGCGCTATCGCAGGGCTGGCGAGCGTCATACGGTTACCTGGGCGTGTTCATGTTGGTGCTCACGGTGCCGGTGTTTTTCATCATGCGCCGGACTCCGGAAGAAATCGGCTTGCTCCCCGATGGCGCCAAACCCGCTGTAGGATCAAGTCAAACCGGAAGGTCTTCCGCAGACCGCAGGGTCTCGGGCCGAACCGATACTGACCTGGCGCCCGAATTCAGCTGGACGGTGCGTGAAGCGATGCGAACCCGCGCGTACTGGTGCATTGCCGGCACGGCGATATTGGCCGTGATAGCGTCCGCAGGGTTGGGATATATCCTGGTTCCGTATCTGGTCAGCACAGCAGGGCCTGGGTTGTCAAACTCGCAAGCGGCTGGGGTCGGGAGCCTGGGAGCGGTGCTCGCCTTGACCACATTGATCTGGGGGATCCTGGCCGACAGATTTGGGCCGCGTCAATGCATGGTGATGACGATAGCGGGAGCGGTTCTAACCCAGGTGTTCCTGATGACAGCGGTCAACTCGGTGTTGACGGCATACATTTTCGCCGTCCTGTGGGGATTCTTCTCCAACACCGTAGGGACGCTGGAACACATGCTGCTGGCTCAATACTTCGGGCGCGGCTCATTTGGGGCGATTCTAGGTTCTCTGGGGCCATTACAAACCACCGCGCTTGGCATCGCGCCGGTATTTGGCACCTTTCTTCAGACGGCAACCGGCAGCTACGCCATCGTGTTTGGCGTGCTGGCGGCCATGTATGCAATGGCCGGAATGCTTATTTTCCTGGCCAAAGCGCCTGAATTGCCTCCTCGGGCGGTGCAGATGGCCCGGGAGGCGCAGGATGCCCCAGCAACGGTATAATCCAGGCGACTTTCCCAAAGGAGGCACACCAATGCCAGGCAAAAATTACGTCAATCCGTCGGGTATCAGCGACCCGTCGCCGTCAGGATTCACCGCGGTCGTGCAGGCCGGAAACACCGTGTATATCGCGGGTATGGTCTCTCAAGATGAAAATGGCAACGTGGTGGGCGCCGGCGATGCCGAAGCCCAAACTACACAGATTTGGCATAACATCGAAGTGGCCGTGAAATCAGTCGGCGGCAGCCTGTCAGATATCGTTAAGACCACCACGTACATTACCGGTATCGAACATGGCGGCGCGGTGCGCGCGGTGCGCGGACGTCTTTTCCCCAACAATCCGCCGACCAGCACTCTTTTGGTAGTGAGCGAACTGGCAAACCCGGCCTACGTGGTGGAAATCGAGTCCATCGCAGTGCTCGATTAACCCGACGAAGAGCGGTGCAAATCCCCGCGTTGACCGATGCGTCGGCGCGGGTTGGCCCCAGCATCAGGAACCCATAAGGATCCAGGGGCAACGGGTGATGACCCGAGCCACCTGCAATCTAGAATTCGGAGTCAGGACCCTGCTGTTGGAGGCGCTTCTGTTCCTGCAGGACCAGCCACATCCGATGCCACACGAAACGGCGCTCAGGGTCCTGAAGGCGGCGGCCAATCAACTGGCGAACAGTCTGCACCGCCTGGCCGGCAAAGAACCCCCAATGTCCAGGCTCCTCACGCATCCAACCCGCGAGACGGTCAGGATTGGAGACAACGACCTCAGCCAGCACAGCGTCCAGGTCGGTCTCGGCCGCCATGGTTTTATCCGCCTCCCACAGGCCTTACTATTTCCAGGGCATCGCCTTCGTTCAGCTGCACTGCCGCGAAATCCTGTTTGCGGATAACCTGACCGTTGTAACCGACCGCGATGAAACGCATGTTAATATCGATCGTGGACAAGTAGCTCTGCAGGTCGAGACCATTGTCGATTTCCCGGGGTTTGCCGTTCACTCTCAACGTAATCATGGCAGAAATTTACCTACCGTTGCTGGTTGCGTGTTCTGTAACACTGCCTGTTATCTCGGGATCTGGCTGTAAACCGATTGCGGCAAGCATAGCAGATTTCAAGCCCTTGGCCGCTGCTTCCGGGTCGTCGCTGGCGAGAATGCTGGTGATTACCGCCGCTCCCCAGGCTCCGGCTCCCATTACATCAGCCACGTTGGTAGTGTCGATTCCACCGATGGCCACCAGGGGAAGCGATACGCCGGCATCGCGGATACGGGTCAACAATCCCGGGCCGGCCGGTTCTTCGCCGGGGTGGGAACGGGTAGCGAACATAGTGCCGACCAGCAGGAAATCTGCACTGGTGGCAGCCGCTTCCAGTGCCCCTTCGACGGAGTGAACGGAACGGCCAACAATGGCCTGCTCCCCCACGACCCTGCGGACAAGGTCGGCCGACATCGCCGCTTCACCCAGCTGAACGCCATCGGCTCCACCGGCCACCGCCACGTCAGCGCGTTCATTGACCAACAGCAGTGCCCGGCCTTCGGTTACGCTCCGCAAGGTTGAAGTAAGCGAGAACACAGCCTGCCCCGGCAAATCTTTATCGCGTACCTGGACCACGTCAACACCGCCAGAGACGGCTGCCGCAACGCGGGCCGGCATCTCGTCCGCAGCGCAGACTGTGCGATCAGTCACGAGGCACAAACAGGGATAGGGCAGCGATGGCCGCATGGCGCGAAAGCGGCTAGTTTGCTACCACGGGTTCGGGCACATCGGAAGTCGGACTGCTGGCGATCGCCTCGGTGCGCACCGGGATTCGGCCTGCCAGGTAAGCCTGCCGTCCGGCTTCGACTCCTTTGCGGAAGGCATCCGCCATCATGGAGGGGTCCTGGGCCTGAGCGATGGCCGTATTCACCAAGACAGCGTCTGCGCCCATCTCCAGAGCCTTGGCGGCGTCGGAAGGCACTGCCAAACCAGCATCCACGATGACGGGGATGCTGGCGTTTTCTAGGATGATCCTGATCTCTTCGCCGGTGTGGATTCCCTGACCGGACCCGATGGCAGAACCCAAAGGCATGACTGTGACGCACCCGACGTCTTCGAGGTTCTTGGCGAGCACCGGATCGGCGTGGATGTAAGGCAGGACCTTGAACCCCTCGGCCACCAATTGCCGGGCGGCTTCCAATGTGCCGTTGGGATCGGGGAAAAGATACTTGGCGTCTGGTATGACTTCGAGCTTCACAAAATCGGTTTGGGTAACTTCCCGGCCCAGCCGAGCCACAAAGAGCGCCTCTTCAACCGACCGACAACCGGCAGTGTTGGGAAGGATCTGGTATTTGTCCCAGTCGATGTAATCAAGGATGGTTTTCTCTTCCGGATTGTCCAGGTCCAACCGGCGAATGGCTACGGTAACAATCTGGGAACCAGAGGCTTCCAGAGAATCGACCATGTCCTGCATGGTTCGGTGACGTCCAGTACCGACTATCAATCGGGAATGGAAAGATACTCCCCCAATTATCAGTTCATCGGTCATCGGGCAACTCTCCTTTACCGAGCCACGCATTGATTTTGCAAGAGGCTCACGGCATCCCAAAAGCAAAACCGCCAAGCGAACCGGCGGCTTCATCAAAGCTCTACCAACTGTTCCTGCGCCGGCATTACCCGGATCCGGTACAGACGGTCGGCGACGAATTTGGCCGCCCTCTCAGCCTGGTTTACCCAAGCTCCCGCCAGAATTGCGTGAGGGTTAAATTGTTCTGAAAATGTAACACTACAAACGGGTTGAAGTCAATTCCAGAACGTTCAACGTAACAGTTCAGACTTGGAGAGGTGAATTGGCCGAAGGTTGGTCGGGAATCGCTGGAGCTGAGAGAGGTGGTTATGTCATATATCTGGGATGGATGCGGAAATCGACCTCAGCACTGCGGACCGGGATGTGCTGATTGCCATCATTGAGAGGCAACAGGCCATCATCGAGAGTCTGGAAAAACGGATCGCCCAGTTGGAAGGGCGGGACAAATTGGGCGGCACCCGCCGGATGCCCGGTCTGAAGCCCAAAGCCGAGCAGCAGCCGGCCCAGCCCAAGAAACCACGCAAGCCTCGGCCCCACGGCTTTGCTCGCACCCGCATGACGCCCACCCAGCGGGGTGGAACACGTGGTGGAACAGTGTCCCGACTGCGGAACCCAGCTGTCCGGTGGCTGGACCCAGCGCACTCGGGAAGTGATTGACCTGCCCCGGGTTCCGGTGCAGGTAACCGAGCACGCTTATATCGCCCGCACCTGCCCACAGTGCCAACGCTGTTGTACGCCCACCGCGCAACTGGAGAACATGGTGATGGGCAAGCAACGCCTGGGGGTCAACCTGATCAGCCTGATTGCCGCCCTGCGGGAGGAGGCCAGGCTGCCTTTCCGCACCATCCAGTGGTACCTGGACACCGTGCATGGGTTGCGTCTCAGCCTGGGAGCCATCGTGGACGCCACGCAAAGGGTGGCTTGCAAGGCCCAGGCTGAACTGACGGGCATTCTGGAACGCATCCGAGGCAGTCCGGTGGTCCATGCCGATGAGACCGGCTGGCGTGAGGACGGACACAACGGCTACGTGTGGACCTTCAGCACCCCCAGCGAGCGCTACTTCCTGCGTCGGGGCCGGGGCAAGGCCGTGGTGGATGAGGTCCTGGGCGATCAGTTCGCTGGCGTGCTGGTCAGCGACTTCTACGCCGCCTATCACCATTACGACGGCCCCAAGCAACGCTGTTGGGCCCACCTGTTGCGGGACATCCACGACCTGCGCGCACTCTACCCCGATGATGACCGGTATGATGACCGGCTGGCCCAATGGGCTGACGCCATCCACCAACTCTACCGTCAGGCGACCGCCTTCACCCATCCCTCAGAGCAGCAACGGCCAGAGCAGCAACGGCGCACCGCCCAACTGGCCTTGGAACAGCGCCTGCTGGCCCTCTGCCGTACCTACCAGGATGACCCATCGGCCGCCCCAACCAGGCTGTGCCGACGCATGGAGAACCACATCAAGGAACTCTTCCTCTTTGTGGCTGAACCAGAAGTCCCGCCGGACAACAACGCCGCCGAGCGCAGCCTGCGACCGGTGGTAATCAGCCGTAAAATCAGCGGTGGCTCACGCTCCGCAGCGGGCACTGACACCAAGATGACCCTGGCCTCAATCTTCGGCACCTGGCGCGTACAAGGCTTCAACCCCCTCACCGCCTGCCGACAACTGCTCACTTCCCCGCAACTCTGAACTGTTACCGTTCAACCGCCGAGTGTAATACCGTGATTCGCTGAATCTGACGCTAACCTTAAGCAAAACGCAATCGCAACCGGGACTCGACACTTTCGGGGGTAGACGGCCGCCAGGGTCGCCAATTGTTACGCTTCGCTCGCGATGACACGATCGCGCCGGCTTGATACAGAGAACATTCCTCCCATCGCAACGCTCTCGCGGTGCAGGCGATATCCGATTCCTGGCAAATGTGAACCGGCGGTCATACCTCGTACTCCGACACGATTTCCGGAATAATGAGAGTAGCTCCGGTGACCGACTGAACATCGAACGGCGTCCACCCGGGAGCCGTTTCACGCAGCACCATGCCGTCGGGAGTGGGTTCCAATACGGCGACATCAGTGACTATCAACGAGACGCACGCTTTTCCAGTTAGGGGATAGACGCAATCCTGAACAACCTTGGGGTTGCCCTGGCGGTCGTTGTGTTCCATGGCCACTATGACTTTGCCGGCGCCGGCCGCCAAATCCATGGCTCCCCCGATGTTGCCGACTCCGCGCTCGGGAAGGATCCAGTTAGCCAGGTCGCCGATAGCGGAAACCTGGTGAGCCCCCAATACCGTAACGTCCACGTGCCCGCCACGGATCATGGCGAAAGCGTCAACGGAAGAGAAAAATGCCATTCCCGGGACACGTTCCAGGAACTGGCCTCCAGCATTGATGAGGTCGATGTTTTCGTTGCCGTCTTCTGCCAACGGCCCACAGTTGAGTACGCCGCTCTCGCTGTGGTAACACACGACGCTGTCGTCTGCCACGAACATTGAGACCAACGTGGGGATGCCGATGCCGAGGTTCACATACGCACCCGGGGGCAATTCTCTGGCCACCCGCATTGCGATGATAGTGCGGTCCAGTCGTTCTTTATCTGCAGTCATGTGTGGGTATTCCGTTATTAGTCGTAGCCTGTGAAACCATCGGGGCGCCTGACGATGCGTTGCACGAACACGCCGGGCGTGACGATTTCCTCGGGATCAAGTTGGCCGGGTTCCACTATTTCATCCACCTCGGCAACGGTGATGCGGGCAGACGGCGCCATGACGGCATTGAAGTTGCGCGAAGTGCCGCGATACACCAGGTTCCCTGATGTATCGGCCTTGTGCGCCCGGATCACGGCAAAGTCGGCGCGCAAACCGTATTCCAGGATATAGGGGCGCCCGTCGAACTCCCTTTGCTCTTTGCCTTCGCCGATGAGGGTGCCGGCTCCGGTCGGGGTGTAGAACGCAAGCACACCGGCGCCGCCGGCACGCAATCTCTCTGCCAGGGTACCCTGAGGGACGAGTTCCAGATCCACCTCGCCGCGTCGGTACGCCAACTCGAACTCGGATGGGCGCGACACCGACGGCGACACCGGGAAAGAGGCGATGGCCTTTGCAACCTGCCCGTTTTCGATAAGGATGCTGTGGTCAATTGCCGTCCTGCCCGGGGGTGTGCCAAAGCTGACCACCCGTGCGATCCCGGCGGTGTTGCTAACGATGGTGAGGTTTTTCTTTCCAGTGTCCCGGACGGCAACCAACAGGTAATGCGCCATACCGCCGGGTCCGCCGAATCCGTCGATGAATACGGTGGCGCCGTTGGATAGGTCGGCCAGGGCGGACAAACCGTCGGAATAGATCTTGCTGGGTGGTTGACCAGGATGGGGAGTGAAATCCATTTCCCGTAACGACGGAGAAGCCGACAACTTCGCACCAATAACGGATTCGACACCCTCGACAGTCCAACCGGGCGCAACTTCCTGCAAAATAAATCGGCCTTCGTGTATTCGAATCACTCCCACATCTGAAACCACCAGATCCACGCAGTTGATGCCGTCGGGCGGGAGGTTCAGCTGGTTGACCAAAGCGTTGGGGCGGTTGTGATCGGTTGTGAGAAGTATCGCCACAACCCGTCCGGCGTTGGCAGCCAGATCTACAGCGTTGCCGGGCTGACCGGCTCCCGATACACCGGCGAAACAACCGGAGGCATCGACTTGCGCCGCATTCAGCACAGCCATGCCAACGTAACCGCCGCGGGTGATGGCTGCTGCATCCGCCGCAGTTACCGGAATCCCGTTCAATGTCCCGTCGTTGTTCAGGAACCATGCCCGAAGGTTGGCAGGGGTGGATTCTTTGATGCCAGGCGCGAAGTCCGGTTCGACGGCCACCACCATGCCGGGGGTGATCTCGCCAGCCAAGCGGCGGGAAATTTCGAGCGGATCCAATTTTCCGGCGGGTATCAAAGTTTTCTGCCTACGTGCCTCGAGTGGTTTGGACGACGCGGTTAACAAATATTCCGGGTGTGATTACCAGCTCGGGGTCTATGATTCCCGGTTCGCCGACGGTGTCGACCTCTGCGACGCAGACGCGCGCGGCGGCAGCCATGGTGGCGCTCCATCCCCGCTGATGGCCTCGGTACATGACGTTGCCCAACGTGTCGGCGACTGATCCGCGAATCAATGCGAAGTCGGCTCGCAACGGCAGTTCGAGAACACACTCCACGCCGTCGATCACGCGCAATTCCTTGCCGGCCGCGAACCGGGTGCCCGCTCCTACCGGAATCAGGACCCCGCCAATTCCGGCGCCGCCGGCGCGCAGGCGTTCGGCCAAAGTGCCCTGGGGCACTTCCTCGACCGCGAGGCCCAGGGGCATTAGACGGGATGCGTCCGCCCCCGCAACCAGATCATCTGGTGGATTTGGGGAAATGATCCTGGCGAATTGTCCCGACGCCACCAATGCGGCGACCATGGAATCAGGCTGGCAATCGGAGAAATCACATACGCAGGTGAGCCCGCCAACACCAGAATCGGCCAGAGCCGCCAAAAGGGAGGAGGGTTCAGTAGCTGCGGACGCGCCGCTGATCAGAATGGTGGCGCCCGCCGGCAAATCTCCCACAGCAGCAGCCGGGGAATCGTAGACTTTGGTCATGTCACCGCACGCAGGTTGATATGGCGATCATTTTATCGCAATCCGCCGGGGTGATAAAGCGGCAGGGATTCAAACCGGCCTTGCCATAATGCCCGCAGCCCCATTACCATTCAGGGGCTGCGGGCAAAGATTCGCAATCGACCCCACCGGCGCCCGATGTGAACCATGCGATACCAAAGAATCAAGCACATATTGGAGCCACCTTACGCGGAGATCCAACTGATACCGGCGGGCGGTCCCATTACGATTGACGAGCTGCTGGCTGCCGAGATCATAGATATATGCGACGAGCTGCTATTTCAGGACGACATACGTGTGGTGTCCATAACGGGGCAGGGCCAGGCATTCGCAACGGGACGAATCTCACCGCCGGCCGATATTGTTGGAGCCGATTCGTCGCAACAGCTCGACTGGATCAACGGGTTGAAAGCAGCGGGGGCCGTGGCCGGGCTGCCGATGCCCGTGGTGGCAGTGCTGAACGGCGATGCCACCGCCCACGGCCTGGAACTGGCGCTGGCGGCCGATCTCCGGATAGCCGCGGATTTCGTTGTTGTGGCGGCAGGAAAAATTGGTCAAGTGGGATTTCCTTTCGATGGCGCTACACAACGCCTGCCGCGTCTCGTTGGGCCTGCGTTGGCCCGGGACATGCTGCTCACCGGCAGGACACTGACCGCCTCCGAGTGCCTGGATGCGGGATTGGTGAACCGGGTGGTGGCGGCTAACGAACTGAGCGCCGCCGCCCGGGCGTTGGCGAGTAAGATAGTGGACGCCGCGCCCATCGCCAGCCGGTTTGCCAAGGAAGCAGTGAACGCCGCCGGGGATATGACGCTGGCGCAAGGTCTCAGGCTGGAAGCTGACCTCAGCATAATTCTTCAAAGCACAAGCGATCGCGAAGAAGGGTTGCTTGCTTTCCGCGAAAAGCGCGTCGCCCGGTTTTTGGGTCGGTAAAGCGAGGCTGCCCTGATTATGGTTCGGCTGGACATCCACACGCACGTCGGCGAAATGTTTGGTTTCCAACCACCCACTCCTGAAATGGCTGAAATCGTAATTGGTCAGATTCAGTCCGCCGGGCTGGATGGGATCGCAGTTACGGATCATTGGCGACGCGACTGGGGGCTGGCGTTGCACCGGGTGGTGGAACGCGAATTCCCGAATCAGGTGATCATCATCCCGGGTCAGGAGATCGACGTGCGCCCCGCCTCGAGTCCGTTCGACGAGTACCATTGCACCGAGTTGTACCTGCCGGGCGGGCGTTTGGTCAGAACCTATTGCCATCCGGGTTACTACACCCCGAACATCATCATCGAAGAAGGAATCCATGGGATCGAGGTGACGAATCACCATCATGACTGGCACATCCGACGACCGCTCGTAGAACGCGTCGCTGAGACTCACGATCTGTTGTCGTTCAACGTCAGTGACGCCAACATACTCCACGAGATTGGAGCCGGGAGCACGGAAGTAGATCTCGATGAAATGATGCGTCGGGCAATCCCGCTCGACTGACCGACGGTCTGTTTGCTTATGTCCGGCCAGTTTTCCACCATCATCTACGAAAAACGTGGCGGCGTGGCATATCTGTCCCTGAACCGACCAGCGCAGCTGAACGCCTTTTCGGTATCCATGCGGGACGACCTTGCAGAGGTTCTTTCCGCAGTGGCCGAGGATCCCGACGTGCAATGTCTGCTGATTACAGGCCAGGGGCGCGCATTTTGCGCCGGAGCAGACCTCAGCGAATTTGGTTCAGCGCCTTCGCAGGTCATTGCGCGCCGGGTACGCTGGCAGCGGGACGTCTGGGGCCAACTGATTGGCCTGCGACAGCCAATCGTGGTTGCCGTGCATGGGTACTGCATAGGCTCCGGGGTGGAGATCGCGCTGCTGGCTGATGTACGGATTGCGGCGGTTGACGCCATCTTTGCGCTGCCTGAAGTGCGGCTGGGAATGATTCCGGCAGCGGGCGGGACCCAAACCGGGCCAGCCAGCATGGGCCCGTCGAGGGCTCTGGACCTGTTGCTGACCGGCCGACAGCTGGGAACGAAGGAAGCGTTGAATCTTGGCTTGGTAAGTCGCGTTGCTAAGCCCGACGATTTGATCGCCGACGCCTGGGAAATCGCCGGGCAACTGGCGGTTCAACCAGCCCATCTCAATTCCAGGTTGCGCCGAAGCCTGCGCGAGGGGGCCGACCTGTCCCTTAGCGCCGGGCTGGACATGGAACAAAAACTGGCAGCAGCAGCAATGGGCGCGGGTTCCCATTAGGGTCTGCACCCCGGAGAGAGGATGAACACTACCGAGTTTTTAATGATTGCATCGGCCATAGTGCCGGATCGTACCGCCATCGTATTCGAAGGCGTCAGGTACTCTTTTGAAGAGTTGCAGGAGCGCGTCAACCGGTTGGCAAACGCCATGTCGAACTTAGGAATCGGGCCCGGAGATCGAGTGGCCGCGATGCAAACGAATTGCAACCAGCTGCTGGAGATATATTTCGCGGCGGCGCAGCTGGATGCAATCTATGTGCCCATCAATTTCCGGGCCAAGCAGGAAGAATTGAACACCATGCTGGGCATTGCGGAACCAGCGCTCCTGTTTTTGGGCGAACGGTATGCGTCTCTCGTTCCCGCTGATGAGACGTGGGCCGGTCGGCAGGTTGTGATGCTGGACGGCGACGCCACAAGTGGACGTATCGCATACGACGCGCTGATTGCCGGGGTCGAACCGGATCAATTGCATTTTCCTGAGGACGATGAGGATGACACCACGGTTTTTATGTTTACTTCCGGCACGACCAGCGTGCCCAAGGGCGTCCAATTAACGCATGACAGCTTTGGCACGTTCCTGCTGATGAACGTGACGCCAGCTGATCCCGACATCGAGGAAACCAACTTATTGACGGTGCCGCTATAGATCACGTGGCTGGACTGCAAGCTGCACTGGCAGCGGTGTTCGGTGGGCGCACTTTGGTGGTGATGCCTCAGTTTGAAGCGGAGTCCTGGATGGGCCTGGTCGCAGAACACCGGGCGAACCGGGCGATGCTGGTGCCGACGATGTTGAAAAGAGTAATCGATCATCCGAAGTTGATGATCTACCGTTGTCCTCACGGATGATGTCATCACTATGGGGCGCGCTGCCGAGTGCCGCTGCCGTTTAGTCGCCAGCCATCACGCCAATTCACCCAACGCAAGGTTTATCAACGCCTTTGGGCAAACTGAAACCGCGTCCACCATCACGATGCTGCCTCCAGAAGACCATTTGCTGGAGGGAAGCCCGGATGAAATTGAACTCAAGCTGCGCCATCTGACTTCGATTGGCAAACCTCTGGACGATGTGGAGGTTATTATTGTGTCGGAGGCTGGAACGCCAGTTGCCGCGGGAGAAGTGGGGGAGATCGTTGCCCGTGGACCGCGCCTGATGAGTGGATACTGGCGGCAGGATGATGCCACCGCCGAAACGTTGCGTTCGGGCTGGCTATACACCGGCGACCTGGCCTGGCAAGACGAGGACGGTTACATCTACCTTTCGGGCCGGGCGCGGGATTTCATCAAAACGCGGGGGGAGCAGTGATGGTTGAGAGAGAAGAGTTGAGCAAGTATTGGGTGGTGGGCAGACGAAGTGAGGGGAAGAGGTGCGGTGGCAGTTATAGGCGTGCCCGACCTGGAGTGGGGCGAGGAAGTGAGGGCCGTCGTGGTGCTCAACAACCAGGGAATCAGCGAAACAAAGCTGATCGAGTACTGCCGGGATCGGCTGGCGAGCTTCAAACGCCCCACCTCGGTCGTGTTTGTGGATGAGTTGCCCCGCAATGTTATGGGAAAGGTGGTAAAACGGGATTTGCGGGAAGAACTGGGCCTACCATCCTGACTAAACTACTATCCTGACAAACTACCATCCTGGTTGAGTTACTATCCTGATTTAACCTAACCATAAGGAAACCAAACCGGCAGGGAGCGACATGAAAATTGCAGTCATGGGAGCCGGCGGCGTCGGCGGGTACTTCGGCGGGTTATTGGCTCGCGGCGGACACGACGTAACGTTCATCGCCCGGGGTCAACACCTGGATGCCATCCGGAGCAACGGGCTCAAAGTGATCAGCACCAACGACGGTGAGTTTACGGTGCGTTGCGGCGCCACCGACGACCCTGCCGATGCGGGTGAGCATGAGTTGGTAATCTTCGCCGTAAAGATGTATGACAACGAACACACCATGCGCCTGATCCAACCACTGGTTGGCCCCGAAACGATAGTCCTGACCCTGCAGAATGGGATTGATAACGGCGATCTGCTGGCCGAAATTTTTGGTCCGGAGCGGGTGATGATTGGATCCGCGTACCTTGAGGGTCGCATCGACTCGCCGGGCGTGGTGACACAAGGTGGCCCCGGCGCCGCATCCTTCGGCGAGCGCACCCCGGGAATTACAGAGCGCGGCGAGATGCTGCTGAGCGTGTTTCAGCAGGCTGGCTGGCGGGTGGAATTGCTGGAGAACATGACGGGGATGCTGTGGAAGAAGTTCGCTTATCTGGCGGGTTCGGCCGGAGTTTGCGCCGCCAGTGGGTGCACCTACGGGGAACTGCGTTCGATTCCTGAGACCAGGGAAGTGATCAGAACCGCCATTGCCGAAGCGTTTGGCATTCGGGGAGGAAGCAGCCGGGGATACGCCTCCGGCAACTAATCGTGGATGCGTCGACTGTAAGTTCTGTGGGCCCGGCGCCAACGCTGCAGTTGACATCTTACACTGCGCGGAACTGTGGACGCACGTGCGCCAGCTGTCAGTATCATGAGCCACTCCACGATAGGATACTACAGAGGCATTCCTCG